GAGCCAAGATCATGTCACTGCCCTCCAGCCTGGGCAACAAAGCAAGACCCTGTCTCAAAAAAGAAAAAAATGCATACCTTCAGAAAAATTAAGTATGCCCTCAATATATTATACAGATTGTACTATATAAAGCATACACAAAAATAGAAATTAAAAATGATGACACCTGGGTGTGGTGGTGTGCGCCTGTAGTCTCACCTACTCAGGAGGCTGAGGCAGAAGGATCGCTTGAGGTTAGGGGTTTGAGACTAGTCTAAGATCAAGCCTGTGAATAGCCACTGTACTTCAGCCTGGGCAACATAGCAAGACCCCATCTCAAAAAAAAAAAAAGTGACTTAAACTTCTCAGTGACTTACTATTGCATTGCAAATAGATTCCGAGTGCCATACCACTGTCTCCAAGGCCTGCACTGGCCATCCGGGCCTTGTGACTCTTTGTCACTACATGGCATCCACATTGCCAACCCACCACATTTTCTTCTGCCTCAAGATTTTGAGCTGCTCTTCTCAGCCTGTTTTGCAGTTATTCTTTGTGCCTAGAATACACTTCTACACTTTGTGCATGCTTAGTTTAGCTTCAATAGGATTGCCTTGGTGAAGCCTTCCAAATCTGAAGGGGCACACCCTCCACCCTCCAGCTCTTCCACTACCTCTCTGTGCTTTTTCATTTTGTTTGAGACAGGGTCTCGCTTTGTCATCCAGTTGTAATTCAGTGGTGCCATAAGGAGTCACTGTAGTCTCCATCTCCCAGGCTCAAGCAGTTCTCTCACCTCGACCTCCCGAGTAGCTGGGACTACAGGTGTACGCTACCATGCCTGGCTAAGTATTACTTTTTTTGTAGAGATGGGGTCTCGCCGGGCGCGGTGGCTCATGCCTGTAATCCCAGCACTTTGGGAGGCTAAGGCCAGCAGATCACAAGGTCAGAAGTTCGAGACCAGCCTGGCCAGCATGGTGAAACCCCATCTCTACTAAAAATACAAAAATTATCTAGGCATGGTGGTGTGCCCCTGTAGTCCCAGCTACTCGGAAGGCTGAGGCAGGAGAATTGCTTGAACCCAGGAGGTTCAAGAAAGAGATGAGATGGGGTCTCACCATGTTGGTTGCCTAGGCTAGTCTCAAACTGCTAGGCTCAAGCAATCCTCCTGCTTCAGCCCCCTACCCAGTTACTTGGAAGGCTACAGTGGGAGAATAGCTACAGTTCCGGCATTCAAGAGCAGCCTGGGCAACATAGTGAGATGCTGTCTCTAAAAAAAATAAAAATATCCCAGCACTGTTCTCTAAAAAAAATAAAAATATCCCCGCACTCTGGGAGGGCCGAGGCGGCGTGGATGACCTGAGGTCAGGAGTTCAAGAACAGTCTGGGCCAAAGTGGTGAAACCCCATCTCTACTAAAAATACAAAAATTAGCCAGATGTGGTGGCAGGCACCTGTAATCCCAGCTACTCAGGAGGCTGAGGCAGGAGAATCGCTTAAACCTGGGAGGCCATTGCACTCGCAGCCTGGTGAACGAGAGCAAAACTCCATCAAAAATAATAATAATAATAATAATAATATAATAATAATGTGGTGGTATATGCCTGTAGTCCAGCTACTTGAGAGGCTGAGGGCATAAGGATTAGCTGAGCCTAATAATTTTTTTTTTTTTTTTTTTGAGATGCGAGTCTTGCTCCTGTCCCCCAGGCTGGAGTGCAGTGGCGCGATCTCGGCTCACTGCAAGCTCCACTCCCGGGTTCACGCCATTCTCTGCCTCAGCCCTCCTGAGTAGCTGGGACTACAGGCGCCCGCCACCATGCCCGACTGATTTTTGCCCGGCCTTGTTTTTGTTTGAGACGTAATCTTGCTCTGTTGCCCAGGCTGGAATGCGGTGATGCGATCTCAGCTTGCTGCAGCGCCTCCACCTCTTGGGTTCAAGCGATTCTCATGCCTCAGCTCCCTGAGTAGCTGGAATTACAGGAATGTGCCATCACACCTGATAATC